AATAATCACATAATCACAATAATTTAGTCCAAAAGGGTAGGGGCGGCAGTGGCTCAGTGGTTCATGTAGGTTGTCTACAAACCGAAAGGTTGGTGGTTCGATCCCCGGTTCCACCTGACCAAGTGTCGAGGTGTCTATGACACCTAGACACCTAACCCTATAATGTTAGCCAGTGCAGTACAATTCTCTGAACTCTCTTGATCAATTATTATAAGAAAAAGTTGAACTACTTCATGTGAATGCCTATAATCGATGGCTTCAACATGTAGCCTTGAAATGAATGCTCAGATGTTAAACACAAGTCAGAACACGTGACATTAAAACATCATGAACATTTTCAGACAGATTGGACAAAATATGCCTATACAACAGTTAAAAAGGTGAACATGATATCAACATGATGGTCTATTAAGCCAATAAGTGGAGTTTTACTGCCCCCTGCTGTTCAAAATTGTCATTTGTCATGACTACTCAACTATAATTCATATTATGACTTTATCAATTCACTAGTTTAACAATAATCACATAATCACAATAATTTAGTCAAAAAGGGTAGGGGCGGCAGTGGCTCAGTGGTTCATGTAGGTTGTCTACAAACCGAAAGGTTGGTGGTTCGATCCCCGGTTCAGCCTGACCAAGTGTCGAGGTGTCCATGAGCAAGACACCTAACCCCAGCTGCTCCCGACGAGCTGAATGGTGCCATGTATGGCTGACACCGCCGTCAGTGTGTGAATGGGTGAATGTGAGGCAATATGTAAAGCGCTTTGGTGACCATTAGGTCTATGAATGTGCTATATAAATGCTGTCCATTTACCAAAATTACTATGACAACTGTCAAATTTACTTTGACAACTGTCACATCTAGCTCATGTGATTCTAATGAGTGAATGAGATAATTCTGAGTGATCTGTTAGGTTTATATTCAGTGAGCATATCTGTAATATATTGAGGTCCTAACCCATTAAATGATTTATATATCAGTAATAATACTTTGAAATCAATCCTAAATGTAACTGGGAGCCAGTGTAAAGACCTGAGGACTGGTGTGATCTGCTCATATTTTCTGGTCCTGCTCAGACTCCTGGCAGCAGCGTTCTGTATGAGCTGCAACTGTCTTATGGTATTTTTAGGAAGGCCAATGAGGAGATACAGTAATGCACCCTGCTGGTGTAAGCAAGCATAATGGAGATAAAGGGATAGTTCACTTTGAAATTAATTTTTCGTATGTTTTAGCTTACCCCAAGGGTATCCAAGATGTAGGTGACAAAATGCACCCAAAAGTATATAAATCCTAAAGGAAAACTCACAACTTCAAAAAAAATGATGAGCATATGTGTCATAACATGTAAAAGAAGCATGCACAGTTTCATGGAGATCAGACCATAGATGGTGCTATATCTGTTAAAAAGCATTAAAACCATGTATTTGCAATGGTTAATTGCCTGTATTGGCTGTAAATGGTGTTTTCCATCTATTATGTCACTGGATAAATGTATGTTTAATAAAATTGAATGCCTTTTGATGCTTTTGTGCTTTAAGGCCTTAAAGGCCTAAACTGCTTGAACACCGATAAATGCTGCTTGCAGCTTTAATTATTATTATTATTCTCCCCTAAAACGCATCGTGCAGCCCAAACCGTAAGGGCTAGAGCTCTGAAACTTTGTCAGATGGTAGTACAAAAATCGAGGAGAGGTTATCAAATTATGAGCCCGATTGGCCCATAGGTGGCGCTATAGCGACCAATTGCGCGAAACGGCTCATAACTCCTAGACCGTAAGTCGTACACTCAAGTGTCTTATATCATTGGAAAGCTGGTCACCTGACGAAAAAAACGTATATCTCCGATTTCATTTCCGGTATGGAATTTTTTCCGCCATTTTGAATTTTGTCGAAAAACTACTTTTGCGAACTAGTCCCTGGTTTTTTGCCCGATCGGAACCAAACCAGTGCAGAAATGTTCTCTGGAGTCTGAAGATCAATAATTATCAAAAAAATGTTGAAAAAGTCTCTTTGCGGTCGCTAGGGGGCGCAAAATAAATGTTGTGGGAGGAGCCTATTTTACTAAAATGGCTATAACTCGAGAAGTAAATGAGATATCCTCAACAAACTCGGTACACATATGTATAAGTTCAATTTGAGGTCACAGTAAAAAAATCGCCACGATGGAACACTAGGTGGCGCTATAAAACGAATAAAACTAAAAAAGAGCTCTGACCAGCTGACCGTTAGTCCGATTGACTTGAAAATTGGTATCCAGTGTCTTTGTCCAAGGCCCCATGTATGTGTATGAGGACATTGGTGTATCTCAAAAAACATGGCCGCCACCGGCCAATGAAGTTTGAGCACCTATAAAACAAGGTTAACGAAGGCCGATCGGAACGAAACTCGTTGGGCATGTTTGACTCATGGCCCTAGAGGTCTGTAAGAATTTTGAAAGAAATCGGCCACTAGTTGGCGCTAACGAGTTTTATGGCTCTGTTATCACGTGGTGTTGCACACACCCCCACAATATGTATATCAATTGATAGATCTCCTCATGCTGAACAACTTTGCCTCAAGAACCATTGCTGTCAATCAAATCGTTCGTTAAATATTCACGAATATGTTAAAAACCTACTTTTGCGAACTAGTCCCTGGTTTTTTGCCCGATCGGAACCAGACCAGTCTGGGACAATTCTTTGGACTCTCTAGATCAATAATTATCAAAAAAAGTTGAACTTTGTCATTTGTTTTGCTATTACAGGGTCATTTAAAAAAGGGGGCATGACAAAATGCACCCAAAAGCCTATAAATCCTAAAGGAAAAGTCAGAACTTCACAAAAATTGATGAGCACATGTGTCATAACGTATTCAACAAGCATGCAAAGTTTCATGGAGATCGGACTATAGGTGGCGCTATAATTGTTAAAAATGTTAAAAACAATGTATACCCTATAGTAAATTGCCATTATTGAAACTTAAAACTTAATGTCTTTTGATGCTTTTGTGCTTAAAGGCCTTAAAGGCCTAAACTGCTTGAACCCCGCTAAATGCTGCTTGCAGCTTTAATTATTATTACTATTATTATTATTATTATCATCATCAATATTGCCATTGTCAATGCTGTAGAATTAGAATGTAGAACTAGAATTAAGCGTCATTGTCATCACTAATGCAATAACTTCCCCCTTATCTCTTCATGGGTTTTTAATGCACCACAACATAGAAAAGGGAAAAAAAAAAAAAAAAAAAAAAGAAAAAAAAAAAAGAATAAGTATATTTGGATAAACATCGCAAACACCAAGGCAGGCAAGACAGGCGAGAAGTAGTTTCAACGGGACAGCATCTCTGGCCCAATTTGAGACATTCTCGCACTGTACTCCCTCTTTTAATGCACTTTAGACATTGCACATAACACACACACACACAAAAAAAAAAGAAAAATATAGAAAAGATAGGGACTGATGAGATGTGGGGGAAGGTTGTCTTATATTATATTATATTATATTATTATATTATATTATTATATTATCATATTTTGTACAGGATTGACAATGGCAATCGTTACATAGGAGGAAGGATGGAAATAAAAATCTACAAAAACAATATGGGCAGTATGGTGGTAGTGGGGAGTGATGGTAATGACAATGGTAATAAATAATAAATGGTTACTTTGTGTACACACGCATACACATACCCACGCTCATACACGCTCACTTACACACTTAGATCAAACACTTAATCACTCTTGCCACTGCTGGAATTATGGATTTACAAGATTGCTCACTACTGCACTATGTTGGTTTGTTTGTATGTATGTCTGACTGTTAAATAAAAAAAAAAAAAAAAAAAAAAAAAAAAAAGAAGTGCAGATGGGGACGGGGGGAAGTGTCTCGCAGGTCCTCTGTTCTAGACTGGCCGCTGGCTCAAAAACACGCTCATAGCGGTAAACTTGAGGAACGCCCATCAAAGTATAAGTGGGGAGGCGTCGCGACAACACGCGAATGTCCTGTCGGACAAGTGGATCTCTACCGTAAAGCGTCAGATGTTGAAGCATGGTCAAAATGCTTCCCAAGAGAACGGGCTGAGCTTGTCATGTCGAATGCTATGTCACCCCTAGTTGATCAGAACAACAGTGGATGTTACTTACTTGTTCAGAAGACATTTTCTGGTGAAAATTCTTATGTTGGTCAAACTTTCAAAAAGTGAATCTGTGATTATTTATGACAGTATCCACACAGCATGGTGATTGACAGCAGCACTCACCTCAAAACACTGTTCATGTGCACTGTTTCATGGCGATTTACAATCCACGTAATGATGATAATTCCGCGAATAACTGCAATTGCAGATTTCGAACAGAGATGGTGACAAGAGGAAAAGTTGCAGACTGCAGATTTAAATTATCCAAGTAGGCTAGGATATCAAATTTATGACAAGATCACATTTATTTAATTAACATCAAACTCAATTCAAACAGGTAACCTGGCCATTCATATGTCCATATGACTTTATGGAGGGGGAAAAAAAGGTCAATAACAATAGCAGTTTTGAGATCATCCACAACCAAGCTATAAAATAATTGGCAAAGCAGCCAAGTCAATATTCTGTTCTACCTCTGACTCCATGATGAGACTTCAGGTGCAACAGGGGTTTATTCTGGTTCTTATTCACAGATGGGCAGAGGGAAAGTTCCTCCTGGGATATGAATAAACAAAGCTCTGAGAAAAAAAGCATGGACTTGCTTGGTGCTTTAAACTTTATAATGTTTCTTCTTCAGGTTTTACCTGCAAAAGTCTGAATGACTCAAAGAAAAAAATCCCCAACCTGCCAGCAGCACCAGCTTTAACAGCAGTTGTGGAGTGATACTTTAGAAAATAAGCCACATGAGGCCCAATAGCATTATCATTAGCAAAACGGTACCAAGGATCAATGTTCCCTCAGTATGATGATTTTAAAAGAGTCCTGGTGTATATGAAATTTATTTTTTGGAGGAGAAAGATAGAAAAACATGTCCACTGTTTTTTTTTTTTTTTTTTCAAACATTGTGAGCATCACCTTTTTAAATCTGCTGGCTCTTTGGTGAGTGCGGGACAAATGGTGGCCGTTACTGTGGGCGGAGCTACTGTGGTCGCCGTGGCGACAGCCGCTCGTTCTTTAGCCAGTGTAGTCTGAAGCTCCGCCCTACGAGCCAGAGCGGCTTTCAAATGCCCACGGATTTCCTCAATCTTCACCTGGAGTTCTTCAAGCTCGCCGTCTCTTGAGGGGCTCGAGGATCTCACCGAGGAGGTTGGCCCACCGTTTTCACACACTCTCGCCAATAAACTCCCAGTCCCAGAGCTCAATGCGGATGAAGAGCTGGCCTGACCCCCTTCCGTCATGACACGGGTGAGGAGTCGGCGTGTGTTGAGAGTTTCCAGGTTGAAATGGACTCTCTTGTTGTCTTTGGGCTCCTCTTCTGCCTTGGTGCTTTCGTTGTTCCATTTGGCAAAGGATCCGAGGGGAGCGGCTGGAGGAGGCGGATGCGGTTGGGCTTTCTGGATGTTACAACTGGGAAGAGAGATGCAAGATATGTGATTTTGTTAAATAGACCACCCAGAAAGTCTTAATTTCTTGAATGTCTGCAATAACCCTGAAAGTTCACTCTTTTATAATGAAAGTTAAAGGGTTAGTTCACCCAAAAATGAAAATTCTGTCAGTATTTACTCGCCCTCAAGTTGTTCCAACCCTCTATGTGTTTATTTGTTCTGCTGAACACAAAGGAAGATCTTTGGAAGAATGTTGTAATCAAACAGATCTCAATCCCCATTGACTACCATAGTAGGAAAATACATACTATGGTAGTCAATGGGGATTGAGATCTGTTCGATTAAAACATTCTTCCAAATATCTTCCTTTGTGTTCAGCAGAACAAATAAACTCATAGAGGTTTGGAACAGCATGAGGGTGAGTAAATACTGACAGAATTTTCATTTTTGGGTGAACTAACCCTTTAAAGTGAACTAGGGCTTTGAAGCTTCAAAATGACAACAACAAAACAAAAAAGAAAAACAGCATAAAAGTATCATAAAAGTTATCTATGTGACTTGTGTGCTATATTCCAACTCTTTTTGAGTCACATAGACTACTTTTATGGTACTTTAATGGTGCATTTAGAACTTGACAGCTCCAGTCTCCATCTACTTTTTATTATACTGAAAAGAGCAGCCAAAATATGATTTAAAAAAGTTACCATATGTGGCTCTGGAAGAGAGAAAGTCATGGAAGTATGGATGAGTGTGGAATGACATGAGAAAAAGTATATGACAGACTTTTCATTATTGGGTGAACAATCTCTTTAAAAAAGCTACACCATTGACCATCATTATATGATCCCCAGGTTGCCCAGGTTGCACTTATGATGTTAACTTATACTAATATATATATCAACACATTCTCATCCCGAGGCATCATATATGACGCTTTTGCCAAAGCGTAGACATCCAATACACATGGCACCCTTTACCGTCAATATAACACGCACAGAGTATGGTAGGTTTAGGTCTGGGGTAGGGTTAGGGTTAGACCACTAGGAGGCGCCTTCTGCCCCATATATATCTGCGTTTCATCATATTGATGCTAAAAGGCGTCATGTGTTGGATGTATACACTTTGGCAAAAGCATCGTATATGACGCCTTGGGATGAGAACGGGCTATATATATATATATATATACATACATATATATATATATATATATATATATATATATATATATATATATATATATATATATATATTAATGTATAGAAATATTGCCTTGGCAACTAACCCAAATAAGTAGCACCTACTTAATAACACACAATTACTAAAACTTACAATTACATTTAAATGAAAACTGATATATATATATATATATATATATATATATATATGAAGAGTTCAGATGCAAAAGCCTCTAAATGCCATTTGAAATTTTCTTCTTTAATGATGATTTTTATCAAACTTGTATATTTAAGTTCAGTAATTTCACTTAAATAACAATTAATAGGTAATTATCATTGCCATTTAAGTGAAATCACTGAACTTAAATATACAAGCTTGATAAAAATGATCATAGAAGAAAATTTCAAATGGCACTTAGAGGCTTTTGCATCTGAACTCTTCATATATATACATATGTATATATATATATATATATATATATATATATATAAACATTTACAAAACCTTTTCTCTGTGTTCGCCCGCTGCCGTTTCACATCCTCATAAGTCATGTTCAGTGCTCTGTGGATCTTCTGCAAAAAAGAAAGAAAAGGAAAGAAAAAAAAGATTTTTCTCAGCATGAGATGAATGAGAGAGATCAACATCATGCTTTTGATTTTAAAAATCAATATTCCAGAGATGGCAATTACAGACTCAGCTTGGCAGTAATCCCTCCCCACCACTCAGAGAAAGTAGCTTATAAAACCCTGAGAGATCAAGCAAGGCTCATTTACAGAGCCAAAGCTTTGCCCCATGAATATCAGAGCTGTCCCATTCATAGTCTTAGTTATCAGCAGAGGGAAGAAAGGAAACATTTTGAAGAAATAATAAACTGACAACAGCTAAATCAAATTTAGCAAAAAACAACCCAGTCAATAGGAAACATCATAAGCATTAAAGGGACAGTTTGTGGACATTAATGTGGGGGACAAAAATGTAGACATTTACTCGCCCTCACTATCAAAACGCAGGGGAAAGTAGGGTAAGTTGTGAACACACTGTTCATAACTCCAACACAAGAGGCTCTATCTCAAAAATCAAATCTTCTTCTACAGTCCACTTCCTGTTCACATGTGGTCACTACACATTCTCATCCCAAGACATCATCTAACTGACGCTTTTGACCATACGTCAACATCCGACATTTTAGGGCACCCTTTAGATGACGCTATCCTAGGGCGTCATCTAACTGACGCTTTACCTTTAGCGTCAGTTAGATGGCATGGGTAGGTTTAGGTCTGGGGTAGGATTAGGGTTTAGTTAGCGTCATCTAACTGACGTTAAAGGGTGCCCTAAAACGTCGGATGTTGAAGTATGGTCAAAATCGTCATTTAGATGACGTCTTGGGATGAAAACAGGCTGGAAGTTAGCACAATTTTCGTATTTTTTTTCTGCAAGGCAGCTAAAAGAAAAAAAAAAATCAAACAAGACTCATCATCAGATGATGAAGAGTGCTTCTGCCCAATCTGTGTAGAGCCATTTTCAAACAGTCGTCCAAAGGAGACCTGGGTAAAATGTGTAAAATGCAACAATTGGGCCAATGATGCTTGTACCTCAGGCCAGGCAATTTATGTGTACCAGAATTGTGACTGAAGATGAGTCTGATTATTCATATACAGAAAATGTTAAACATTTTAAGTTAAGCAAGTTATCTACAGCATTCCATTCAGTTCTCATGGATGTGCAAGCCAGAGAACGTTTGAGTTTAAAGCTCAAAGTAAAGTGGTCTTGCCACTTAATGTGTTTTGATCTAAATGTGTATTGTTTGGATTGAAATAATTGTTTTTTCAGATTATCCAGGCACGATTGTTTACATTTCCAGTTCCGGTTTGAATTTCAAAATTAAAATATAAATATACAGTATGACATTTATACCAGTATGGTGCTCAGTGTGAAAAGTGTGACAACACTCTCTAATTTGGCCATTTACTCACCCTCACTATCAAAATGTAGCCTATGGTTTAATGGACACAAAATATATTATAGCAACTTGGACATTCTGGGAAACCTCTATTTTCCTACGGGAGAAACAAGGTCGAACTGGTGTGGAAGGGGTGAGTTAAGCATGATGGAGTGTTTTTTTTTTTTTTTTTTTTTTTTTTTCTTTGGGTGAACTGTCCCTTTAAATGAGCCTAATGGCTCACCTGACTGGTGTGAAGCCAGTATTTGAACTTCTGTTTGCGGCGGATATGTGGCAGAACCAGGCGATAGAAGGCATGTTCTCCAGCCAGAGTGAGTAAGGCCCCGGTCACACCCACACAAAGCAACAGAAACAACCCTGAGAAGTGCCGAATGCCCATCTGCAGCGTCTGGAAAGAGAGAGAACAAGCATAGAAGAAATGATACACCAAATGGGTGAGACGCAGTAGTTGTACACAGGGGGGCAGTATAATCATCTGACTGATATTTCATTAGTCTGAGAGAAGAGCATACCCTTCCCGCAGTGCCTTTGATGGAAAAGTCAAAAGGATACATACCAACTTGAACTAATTGACATTAAAAATCATACTCAAACCAAAGCAGGAGCCACATCAATATTATACGGGGAGAACTGATCCGTATGTACCTCTAGGTTGTTAGAGCTAACCACAGACCTTAGACACAAAAATCAATCAAATCAAACAGCAGTAATTTATTTTTTTAATCATAAATCTGCAGGTTTTTGAAACTGCGGAAAGAGTTTCCACACTGTATAACATCAAATTAAGATGACTGAAATACTAAAACTTAAAGGTACAGTAGAGCGTGTCATTTTGTTTAGGTTAAAAAACATTTTCTATCCTTTGTTGATATATTTTTGCACCTGAATGTTTAGTCAGACATTAAAGGGCTCGTTTTCTTTTTTTTTTTTTTTTTCTTTTTTTTTTTTTTTTGTCAAAATGAATAGTCGGTTGCAGACACCATTAGGTACGAGACATTCTTATTCAAAAGAGGATTTGATTGGAGAAAAATACATTCATTTTCCTGTAAAAAAATAAATAAAAAATACTAAATTTTAAATTTGAAGATAAAGAAAACTTTATCAGTAGAATAGAATATACATTTTTAAAAGTTGAAGGTTGGTAAGATTTTTGGTTTCACTTTATTTGGATGATCCCTTTAACACATTCAGTTGACTATAAGTAACATTGCACCTACATCTCTTCTTTTTTTGTTAACAACTGTTTATTGAGTTTTTCTTTTTTTTTAAGTCAAGAGACACAAGAATACAAAGCAAAAAGCACCTATACAAGTCGAGAACTAAACCCACCCCTGGTAGACTTCAAGAACGTAACACTAAAATACAAACCTAGAATGTAGGCCTTCCAAAAACAAGATTTATATATTAAAAAATAAATAAATACACATGCACCTACATCTCTCACTAGAGTGTTATTAGACTCAGTAGAGTATTATTAGACTGGTAGGGTTAGGGATAGAATAAGCTGACACGTAGTTGCAAAGTTACTTATAGAATCTATTGGAGGAGCATCACAATAAAGAGTTGGCAGATATTAAGCAGACAGTCTACTAAGAGAGGTAGTTGACGTATAGTTACTTATAGTCAACAGAATGTTCAAAAGGGACCATCAAAATAAAGTGTTACCAGATTTTTTAATGTTTATGAAAGAGGTATCTTATGCTCACCAAGGCTGTATGTATTTGATCAAAAAACATTTATTATTTTTATCAATGTTGAACGCAGTTCTGCTTAATAATGTTGTGGAAACGTGATCTATTTTATTTTTATTTTATTTTTTTTGCAGAGTCAACTTTTAAGTGAACTATTAAAGGTTTTTTTCCCTGAATGTGTAAACACTCTAGTCCTCTTGAGGCTTGTTGGCTGTGTCCTCCAAAGCATGGACCTTATAAGTGTGCTACGTCACACACTTTCTAGTCCCTGTGCGCACGGCATGAAAATACTATTAAAAATTAATTTTGGAAAAATACTCTGTTATAAAATATAATATTTATATGACCTCTCTGTGTCTGACATTACTGGCAGTTTAGTGTTAGAGATTAATTTTTCAGCAAAACAAAAGATAACACCAACACGGTCAGGTCAGAAAACATATTTTTTACGTTTCATATTAAACTCTGTTTATTTTCGTGAATTGGAATGTGTGCAAAGGACTCAAAGGATTTAAAGCCATGAAGGATACATCCGATGCATCCTTCAAAACAGGATGGGAAATAAAGGATCCTTCAAATTGAGATGACGTTCAGCAACATTTGATGACGTGGCCACCGATATGCAGCATTTGTAGGAGATTTGAGAAACACCCTAAGACTCAAAACAACCTCTGTTTGTTTGAGCTTCCAGTAGCCCAACATAGCAACATTGGCTCAGTCAATGGAGGGAGTTTGGGGCGAAGCTATATGTTTGTCAATCAAGGGAAGATGGGAGGAGCATTCTGGGAAACCTTTTTGAAAACAGTCACTAGTTTTTTTTATGGTGCAGATATTGCACAACTGAAACAGAGACTACAGAAAAGAAAAGAAAACTACATGAATTAACTTACAAGTCTTTGATCTTTGTGTTTTGACCGCAGGGCATGAGGCCTTTGTCTTGCCAGAGAAACTTTGCATCTGCTCTATAGCTCCCATGGTTACCTTGTGTTCTCAAAACCAATGAAAAAGCAGGTGAAGTCAGGTTCACTGTGTATTTTACTTATTCACAAGTACAGTTCAATCTTGTGAGGCCACCACGTACTGCCAATCAAGCAGCTTTCTGGGTATTAACATACTATTAGCTCTCTCTCAAACATGTTCACTTGTCAGATCGATTCAAAACCGAATGTATCTCGCGTAGGTTTTAACCAGCACACAATGCTTTGTCCTCATGTTCTCATCCTTCAGTGAGCCTCTGATGCCATAAGAGAACAGAGGTTTGAAATGGAAATGAGGAATAATCTTTTCTGCTCAGGCAATGGTAATTCCCCCCTCCCCCCTGAAATTAAGAGATGCCCTGCTCCAAGCTTAAAGTATTCGTCAGAACTGAGAGATCTATGTTGTTGAAGAGAGGGATAGTTCGGCCTTTATTTCTTCCTCTGCATGTCAGTCGTCAGCCGATCAGCACGCTCCAAAAGTGTCATTTACTCTAAAATCTTCTGAGGTTTCGAGCGGATCTAACGCACACCTCTGTCAGCACCGTAGATAATGACACAAGATAAGTTAGTGAAGGTACTGAGCCAAATCAATATGTAAGAACTGAAGCCCCTCTGCCACTGATCGCTAAAGCAAACATCACTTACTCACATCAGCCTGTCAGACTTAAAGGGGCTCAGTGGAAATGATAAACATTTGAGCTCTCTTTTGGCTCTTTCATATGAAGAATGACAGGATGGTGTCATCACCATGATCTCAGGAGCTTTGTTTGATTTGATAATGCATCATCAATAATTAATTAAAGAAAAATGTAATTTGGTAGCACATGACAGGCAGGTAATGAGGTTTGATTGATTGGCATGCACAAATATTTTATGACTGAGCTTTAAGAAAGATCTCATGAAATGACGTTGAACACTGTTTTATCATCTATGTTTTTGAAACAGGAAGCTGGGATATTTTAAAGTCAGTCAACCATGATTTCCTACTTGCTAGTCAGAGGCAGGCGGAATTACAGATCTAGCGAATAACAGAATTAGGACACACCCATGAGTGCAAGAAGATAGGAAAAGTATCAATGGTTGATACCCCCCGCTATATCCATATACAAACCGTCATGTACAGACAGTGTTCAGATAAAGGCCATATTCATTTTTTTTTATAAACATATATTATAATACTAAATATTAAAACATATCTTCTGTTGAAGTCTCAGGACCAAAAATGGTTCATCCAATCATTGCATTTGGACTGAATGTCCTGATGTCCCACCTGCCTGTACAATATTCAACACTGCACAATATCCTGTCCAATATCCATATGCAAACAAGCTATTTCTACAGCATGATTACGTCATTTTTTATGATGAGGTGGATGTTTTAATCTATGAAACTTGCAGGATGTTTTAAAGACCTCTTATAGACCATTTCACAAGATGTAAACAACACTGGCCCAGAAGCACTTCCTGTTTCAGTTTTTTAACACTACATAAAAGCTGGGATAAAATACAACCAACAGAACATTTAATACTGAATCAAAAAGTTAAACAAACATCTTTAAGATGTTTTCTTTACATGTGAAATAAAGAAAACAGTTACAAACTGAAACAGGAAGTGCTTCTGGACCAGTGTTGTTTACATCTTGTGAAATGGTCTATATATCAACAGATCAAGGACAATTAGATTTAGCATTTTATGAACCCTTTAAGTTGCTGAATTCAAATTCATTTCGGTATGTCAGCTGAACTTAATTATTTATTTAAAATATTTATTTGTCTGATACTTATTTAGCCATGTGTGAGATAATGTGCAGTTTCATTACTGAAAAATATATTATGCCTCATTCATTTGCTGTATCACTTAATAATCTCCAATTACTAACAATATACAGTAACTGTATCTAAAAACATCTAGGTGAAAACTAAATGTAACATTCAACCACATAATCAAATCAACACATTTACATTTACATGGCATGGATAACACCATCAAACAGCTCAAATGTATGAGATCGGAAAGTGACACTGTCAACTATGAATTCATTACATGCTTCTAATCTGGTAAAAGGGATTTAACTGATATAGGAATTATACAAATACATATTTATTAATTTGTTAATCATAAAACCAAATGACCCAGTTCTGTTTTGGGCCACCTCTGAAGATTTCTTGCACTATGCATGCACCCTGGTTCATTTTTCTTTTCACTTTCAATTAGACTGAAACCTGCTCACCTCTGTAACAGCAAAGACTCTCTTTCCGCACGGCACAACCTTGTACCACTTGTCATGCAGCATGTCCATGTAGCCATCTGACTTGTAACGGCTGATGAATTCAGATATGTTGGAGGTGAGTGGCGAGTTCTGGGGCAGTCCAATGCCATAACCTGAAGGAGAAACAAAACCACTTAGCTCATTCAATTCATCAAAACACCACCAGAACAGCGCAGTCTCATCCCAAGACGTCATGTAACTGACGTTTTGGGACGTCTTTTGACCATACGTCAATATTCGCCTTTTTAGGGCCCCCTTAAACGTCGGTAGATGAGATTATGGGATCCTAACTCTACCCCAGACCTAAACCTAACCCTAAACCTAACCCGTCACCTAACTGACGTTAAAAGTAAAGCGTCAGTTGTATGACGGCCCGGGATCGCCATCTACGTAGACCGACGTTTAAGGGGGCCCTAAAAAGGCGGATATTGACGTATGGTCAAAAGACGTCTGAAGACGTCAGTTATATGACTTTTTAGGATGAGACTGTGTTGACCAGAACAAACAGAATATGCTACAAGGTTCATTAAACTGCCTATTTAATGATCACAAATTTCGTGTTTTGACAAGTTAAGTCAATAAATGACACCTGAATAATGCTTAGCACAATTAGCACAACATGCTACTCTACACTTTTTCACTAAAAGCCTCTCAAAGGCTGTTTCTCAATGCAAAGGAAGGTCTTGTGCTCCCGTTGAAACCGCTCTTGCAAGGTGATCTTGAAAGAACAAACTTGGAAGGACACGAGGACACAGAACGCATCTTGTGATCTTGCTGCTTGACTACCTCAGCAAATAGCGATTAACGACCAAAACACAATAAATAAAACATTCACATTTACATTTATTCATTTATCTGATGATTTTAAGGGTCTCTGGTAGGGGTGCAACGGATCAAAAAACTCACGGATCGGATCGTTTCTCGGATCAGAGTCACGGATCGGATCATTTTTCGGATCAGCAAAAAATAAAACAAAAATAAAAGACAAGACAAATAAACATAGGTTTTGTCTTTTTGATTATTAACACTTTTAAATTGTGAGCGGTGAAGAGCTATCTTCTGTATCGTCACATAGCTCCGTTCCCCTAGAAGTCCACCTGTCTGTCGTGAGCGCAACAGATGTCATGTCGTAACGTGGCTCAAGTACTTTCAGTATGTGTTTAAAGCCCTCGTTTTGTACAACCGAATATGGCCTCATGTCTGCAGCTATAAACACACCGATAGCAATTTGTGATGGCTTTAGCCCGGTCTGATTATGCAACAAGGGGCTGCTTAAATGCCGCGGTGGTACGTCTCGGTTTTATCTACTAACCTCTTTCCTTCATGTTATATTTGATGGAAAATCCAAAATGGTCCCATACAGGTGATTTAAATGACGCGGGGCGTTCAAGCTTCTCCGTTCCTCCGCTCGCTATGACGAAACCGTGTGTTGACTGAACAACATGCGCACATTTTTTATTTTTTTTTCATAATCAATCCGCGGATCACGTGTGAACCAAACCGAAGACTTTGATCCGAACGAATCACGGATCAATGATGATCCGTTGCAACTTGCACCACTAGTCTCTGGAGCAACTAGGGGTTGAGTGTCTTCCTCAGGGACACATTGGTGTCTCACAAACCCGGGTCTCTCACACCAAAGGCATGTGTCTTATCAACTGCCCCATCACCACCCCAAAACATAACATCACAAACAAATCTGGGATTTTTAACGGTTCGATTCTCTATATTCATCATTCTCTTGATGCATCCTCGATATCAAGAACACTTCCAGGCATTTCCATGCGTCCTCTGTACGAGTTGAACACAAGGGCTTTCTCACTCGCTACTCACACGTTGATCGATTACTCCTGTCGGCCTTGCTGCTGGTTTGCATCTGTATGCTCTATGTTGCTTTCTGGTTTGAATCTTAATTTACTATCATACCTTATTTTCACTGTTATGGCGATGATACTCAGCTCTATATCTCTTCGTGCCATGACGAAACTTGCCAATTTAAGAAATTAACAGGTTAGTTCATGCGTTCATGACCTCAAGGCTAGATTATTGTAATGCTCGTATGGGTGGTTGCCCTGCACTCATAATAAACAATCTACATCTGGTATAAAACTCAGCAGCTAGAGTTACTAGAACCAGGAACCATATTAGCCCGGTTCTGTCAACACTGCATTGGCTCCCTATTAAACATCATATCAATTTAAAATATTGCTGATGACTACAAAGTACTATATGGTTTAGCTCCTCAGTACTTGAGCGAGCTCTTTACACATTATATTCCTTCATGTCTATTGTTATCTCAAAACAAAAGTTGATAATACCTATATTAAAACAAACTGCTGATGGCAAATCCTTTTCCTATTTAACACCTAAACTCTGGAACAGTCTTCCTAACATTGTCTGGGAAGCTGACACACTCTGTCAGTTTACATCTAGACTAAAAATCTCTTTAATAGGCATACACATAGAAAATGATGCATTCAAATCAGTTAAATGAATATTAGGGTGCATAAATTAGGTCAGCCGGAACCGGGGACACTTCCTATAACTCCCGATGTACTCATTACATAAATAAGAAGAATGGCATCTACGCTATTTCAGCCCGTTCTCATCCTTTAGCGTCACATAGAACGCTATATGACAAAACGGCGCTATACTACGCATATGGCACCCTTTATCGTTAATATTCACACGAACCCAAGGCGTCATAAATCCTTTAGCGTAACATGAGACTACCCTACCCTACCCCACACCTAAACCTAACCATCACAGCGCGTGTTATATTAACGATAACGGATGCCATGTGCGTAGTATAGCGCCGTTTTTTCATATAGCGTTCTATATGACGCTAAAGGATGAGAATGCGTTGGCTATTTTAGTCTTTCTGCTTATTCCGAGGTTTACTGTAATCAGCTGGATCCATTCCGTATCCAGACCAGATGGAGGACCTGCGCCTAGACACGACCACAACCCATGATGTAGTCAGCCGGATACGGGCTGTATCCGCGTCTAGACACAACCAAAATGCATCCCTGAAGTGTCAGCAAAGATTGTGTCAACTAGACTCTCAAAGGCCTCATCGACATGACAGCCATTAGCACTGATCCTCAACAAACCCGTCTCCATCTCAATGTGATGACTCTGATCTTAAACCAGATGGAACTAGATAATATTCTGATTGTTCCAAACCAATCTGACTTTTGACCTATAATGCTGCCTGAATCATAGTCATACACGATTCGTTCATTGGCCAGAGAAGAACTGGACTGAGCCTGGGGTCTTCCAATGTTTTTTGGGTTTTTTTTTTTCTCCATTTGGCCCTGATGGAGTTTTGGTTCCTTGCAACAGTCGTCTTTTTCCATCTTTGTTGACATTGGCTTGCTTGTTATGGCGCTTTTCCACTACACAGTACCAGCTTGACTTGGCTCGGCTTGCCTTTGTTTGGTTTGGTTTCCTGTACCTGCTTTCGGGTACTTTTTTTTATTTCGGTTTATTTTTTGTAAAGCGAGCTATGTCGGTACTAAAATTGACGTGAAAACAATGCCGACTGCTGATTGGTGAGAGAGTATCATCACCATTTACTGCGTCATCATTGCACGTGCCAGATAGAGTATCCAGAATATTGTTACTAAACTTACTACTATTATTATGGCAACTCAGAGTAATTTGCCGCGGTCAAACGAGGAGGTGCAGACTTTCCTTTGTTTGGTTGCCGAAAAGAGGATCCAGTGAGAGCTTGATAGGGCAACGAGGAACGAAAGGCGTCGCTATGACGACCGGGTACTATTTGCGGCGGTACTATTTTTTAGTTTGTTACCGATTAATCAACCAATTAAATTTAAATTGGATACGTAATGAAAACATCCAAAACACTGCAAGTAAAATTGTGCTAAACTTTACTACGAAAATATGTAAAAAAACAGTACTGAACCAATGAAAATGTTCTGTACTTTTTAAATGAAATGAATATATACATACTAATCACTGAAGAATACAGACTATATTAAAGCCAACAAATGTTGGCTAAAACAAACGTTTTGCTGAAAAACGCTCAATGCACAATATTCCAGCCTAGGGTAAAGTCATAATGCACATTAACAATGATTTGAGACAAAGATTACAAAATTTAATGGAGAACTATGTGAGTGGTGCATTGTGGTGCAGCCGGATTTTGAACAGCTGCAGAGTCATAGCTGGGCATTGTCGGTGTGTGTGTATACTAAAAAAAAAAAATAGGGAAATCGGGAAATCGCAATGGAAGACGATTTTGATATATTTAAATATGTTTAGTGAAAGGTAAAACTTCCGAAATCTCTGTGTAAACAATGCGTGACGTAGACGCGCGAGAGATCACTTCTGGGATAACGTCTGGAGACGGTTCAGTTCGGTAGATCAGTTCGATGGCTGTTAACAAGAGGTAAAAACTATATAAATACTGTTCGTTTTCTCACACAAACCATTCGTTTCTTGTCTTAGGCCATCAGTGTGTACTTACATTCACGAGTCATTAAATCATGTTTAATTTTGAGTTCTCTGTGCATGCTCTTTGAGGTGAACCGAGGGAGGACCCCCTTAACCTCCAATGTATGACTGACAGACAACAACGGTTCGACCAAAAAATGTCAAAATTGAAAATGCTGTGGAAACAAAGACACCTACATCTTGGATGCCCTTGAGGTAAGCTAAAACATGTCAAAAATTAATTTCAAAGTAAACTATCCCTTTAAGAGTACTATCATGCATATGTCATTGACAGACCTGTGTTCCTAGTGGAAAACAGGCATGAATCTCATTCAATCAGCACACACATGGGAGACAAATTGAAATAAGATATTGGACGACAGGCATAATTAGCACAGTCAGGAGTCCTGCACAGCCCAGAAGGATCTGAATAAACAGAACATACTATTTTAGCTCAAACGGCTAAGGGAGGGTTAGGCCTGGAAATAGAGAAATTACAGCTAGAACAAAATATAGGGAAATATCAACAAAAATGAGCAAATATACTAGAACAAGTCAGTGGACTGTTTTCCCTCAAGCTCTCTGCAGTAAGGCTGTCACTCAACAGGCCCCACTGGTCCCTAAGTGGCTGACAGATCACAGATATTCAAATGTT